CTAGGAACTAGTTTTCGTGTGTCGGTTCAAAAAAAAAACTTGATTTTTTTACTGACCCTAATGTCCATATGTGCATACATATATTGCACCAAACAGAAAATCGATCAAATCATTGCAAAACTTGAGTAAACAACAAGAACAGCGTGCTGCATTAAAGCCAAGTTTCAATGTCAATGTCAACGAAATGCAACGAAACGCATCTTCGAATTCACCACACTCGCCGCAGTTGGAAAATAGTGTATCAACGTGGCGGTTGAATGCAGGTGGCTTTATGTAATATTAAAATTTCGGTGTCCAATGACAAGAATTTATCTGTTTTTGTAATGAAATAAAATTTTTAACTAACTATATTTTCCGTCGATGATGGTAGCCATTGTGCACCCCTGCGTATGAAGAATATTTCTCACAGCCACGAAGTATGCAATGCGAATCAAAACAGCGCGAATCGTGTCAAGGTCAAGTGTGTTTTCATTTATAAAAAGCACAGAAGACTTTTGTTATCGCATTTCTTCGGTGACGTATTTTTTATTTTATTTTTGGTTTTGGCATGACATCTATGCATGTATGTTTACAATTTTAGATTTGCACTGAATTCTAATTCTTAAAGCAAACGTAAAGCATCTGCGGCGTGAAGTGATGATATTTGCGAGGAAAAGAAAAGAAAGAAATACTTTTGTTTCCTCGCAGATGCATATAAATAAGTATGCATATGCATTCACGTAAGAAAATCTGCTAAGACAGCGATAGCATGAACTTCGAAAACCACAACCCTAAGCATTAAACATTGATAACATTGTGCAACAAAATTTTGCCGCAGAGCTATTAAGAGTTGATTTGTATATTATTTTTAAATATAGAAAAATTCTCATCTCAAGATACTCAGTTCACTCTAGTTTTTGAGATATTTTATGTCTTAAGTGCATTACATGGGCCTTCTTGGACACAGTGGTTTATTATTATACAGCCTGTATATACTTTGCAAAAATTTGAGGACCAGGTGGTCCACTGGGTCGTAGTTTTAAAGTATGGGCAAAAGGACCAGGTTGCATACTAGTAACTTGTTATGCTTACCTGGACCACTTCAAACGTAAAAACTGATATATGTGTTGAGAACCACCTCTTCGTGCCCCATCGGCAACATGATTCGGCTGCCGAATCTGCCATGGTCCAAAAGAAGTAGTTTTCTACGTGGACCCATGTTATGCAGCGTTGGACCCGAGGTGATCACAAGGTAGCGAGGTCCCGTACTAGTATTTAACCTAGTCCCACTTTTTGCAGGGTATTTGATGGAATTTTACAAGCTAACAACTAATCTTGGTTATAAAAGGAATGTTCTAAAATAATATAAATGCTTAAATTGGTGGACCGTTCATAACTAACGCTTGTATCTTTTTTCAGACAAAAAACTGTATATTGCTGCGGAAAATTATGTTTCGCAGTTTGTATATCCATTTTATAAAGAAAAGAAAACATTTTTTCTTTTTTAATACGTATACTTTTCTTTTAATTTTTAGATTTTCATTCTCTTAATTCTCAGAAAGTTATTTTATGTATTTTTTCTAAATTTAATTTTCTTTTAAGGTTTAAAACTAAGAAAATTTTGTTTTTGATTTTATTTCATTTTCAGGAGCCTACTTTTTTATGTTTTTAGATTTTACTGTTTAATTAAGATACACTTTTCTTAATTTCATTGGATTTTAGATACTTATTTCATTTACTTTTTAGCTTTCAGATTTAGTCTGTTTTTTTATACCCGAGCGCACTTGTGCACAAGGGTATTATAACTCTGTTCACATAACGGTTGTCTGTAGCAGGCAAAACGAATTGAAATAAATTGACAAATGTATACATAAATAACCAGAATGAAAAAAGAAATCGATTATTCGGTGACTGTCTGTCCGTCCGTCCGTCTGTCCATCTGTGCACACGATATCTCGAGTAAAAATTGAGATATCTTAACGAAAATTGGTATGTGTGCTTCTTTTCAGCGTGGTATTGAAAATGGGCAATATCGGACAATAACCTCGCCTACCGGCCAAATAACGGTAGTTTTCAGAAATACGAAAACTGCGATACTTTTGGTAACTACTGAAGCTTTTCCACTCAAATTGTATTTACAATCAGCCTTATCATGAGTTTCATTTTCCCCGAACCGGTTCACTTTTCACTTTTGGTTTCCATGGTTTTACTATAGGCGGATGACAAATTTTCGGGTGAATTTTTTTTCAGACGAAACTCAGGATAAGGCAGAATTATTTTTGGGCGAAAAATAAGAATATTATATATTTTTGGAAAATAGGGGTAGCCACGCCCACTTATGACTCCAATGTATATCTCTGTAGCTGCTCCACCAATTTCCCCCAAAACTTAACGCGCTTGTTGGCCTTGGTACAACATACCAAATGGCTGACAATTTTTAAAATTGGACAAAAACCACGCCCACATCCCACATAACCGTAAATACGAAATCTTCGAAGCTAATTAATTTAAAATTGGTGTTTGCAATAATTCTTTAGCACAAAATTAGTTTATGTTAAATTTTGTAAAATGGGTGTGGCGCCGCCCACTTATGACCATATATGTATGTGTATCGCCATCTGTACCAAACTCTGAATGATTACTGTGCTTGCCACATAAAAGCAAAACGCTCAAAATTATTGAAATCGGACTAAAATTACGCCCAATTTTTACATAAGGGTAAATTTACGAAATGCTTGAAATTTCGATATTTCGAAATTTAAGGACCCCAATTTACACAAAATTCATACTAGCACAATCCCTTGTAAAGAAGTAGCATTATTATGGAATTTTGGAAAACGGGCGTTATACCGCCCACATATAACTATGTATGTTTATCGAAGATGTTTTAAATAGGGATAAAACCACCCCTGCTTACCATGTAGCGATATTTTTCGGAAAGGTGAAAAAAATATATTTAACCCGCCCGAACTTAGACTTTTTTACCCTTGTTTCATACCATTTCCTTTTAATTTTTAGATTTTATTGATTTAAAAAGGAAAAATATATAATTTTTTTATTTCATTTTGTTTCTAGGATCTTATTTAATTTTTTCTTATTTATTTTTTTTTAATTTTAGATTTTTTTTTATTTTTAATATTTAATTTTGAAGTACTATTTTCTTCTTTTTTTATTTAAATTTTATGTTTTCTTATTTAAATTTTAGATTTTATTGTTTAAAGAAGAAGAAATTTTATCTTAATTTTAAATATTTTTTAATTATGTTTGTTTTATTTTATTTTTTTCTTTTTAATTTGCCTTTCTTTTATTGATTCCTTTAGATTGTTCTAAAAAAGAAAAGTATATATATATGGTATATATACTTCAATTTAATTAAATTAAAAAACTTAAACCTCGTTAGCTCAATTAGTCTTTCGAAAGTCAGTAAAGGGCTTTCCAGATAATTGCCAGAATTTACAATATTCCTGCGAAAGAGAGGTGTCAAAAGTGCACTGTTATACTACTTTTAATTTTTAGATTTTATTGTTTAAAAAAGTATATATTTCTTTTTATTTCATTTCGTTTTTAAGATCTTATTTAATTTCATGTTATTTTATCGTATTTAATTTTTTTTATTAATTTTTAGATTTTGATTTTTTTTTATATTTCATTTTGAAGTACTACTTTCTTCTGTTTTATTTCTTTTTTAATTTAATTTTCATTTATTTATTCCTTTTGATTGTTCTAATAAAGAGAAGTATATGTTCTTCAATTTAATTTAATTTAAAGAACTTATACCTCGTTAGCAGATATTTCAATTAGTCTTTCAAAAGTTAGTACAGAGCTTTCAAGATTGTTGCCAGAATTTACAACTTCCCCGCGAAAGACAGTTGCCGGAATTGCGCTGTTATACTACTTCCGTATATTAAAAAAATTAGGTAGCAAAAAAGTATATTTGGTTTTAAACGCAGGACGCAATATTTTGGAAAAAAAACGGCAGAATTCATTTTTGGAATAAAAAAGTAGAATACTACAAAAAATAAGTATAGATACGAGCTTTATTCATAACCCATGCCTATAAAACTAGAACCTGTTGTGCTTGTGTTGTTCTCGTATTTCCTGCGGGGCACTTACACGCATTCATGTTCGCATGTGCGTACACACGTTGTAATTTTTGAGTTTGAAAATTGTCACTGCCTTTGGATATTATTTATTTTGCTCATTTTCCTTTTTAAAATTTCTCACGCATTTATGTACATATGTATCTTTTCTTTGTTACGCCTTCCGTTAGTGATTTTTATATTCTCTGTGAATTTGCAAATACATTTTTTTGGATCATTCTTTCTCGCGATGTTTTGAGAAAATTTGCCGTATGTGTGCCAAATAATTTTATTTGTACAAAAATAGTTTGTGATCAATACAAAGTTGCAAAATCGTAAATACAAGAAAGAAGTAACTATGAGAATGTATCCATTTTTATCAAAGTGAAAATTCTCTGATTAATTTTATTTTAGCGAAAAGCTTTTCGTGGAGAGCGTAATTTCTTCAGTCTGTCGCGTTTTAGTCTTTGGCCTGCGTTAATGACAGATTAACTTACTGTATATCGCGTGTGAATATAATCTTTCCTTCTTGTATCACAGTGTTCACAAACCGCCATTGAACCGCAGATGCACTGCATCGAAAAAGTGTTGTGATTTTGATCTCATTGTATTCGCTCAAGTGTCAGAAGATTGCTTTGACATTATGTTAGCTTTTTTATATTTTATGAGAAATTGTAGCCAAAATGAAAACTAAGATGTGATATAATTAAAAAAGATTACGTGATAGTGAAGTTCTAGTTTAAAAATATATATAATAAATTAACGAAAAGTACAAAATCGGAGGAAGTATACGTAATATATACATATGTGTGTTGTGTAATGCATAACATGCCAATTCAAGTAAAAAATTCATTGTAAGAGATATTTTGTGCGTGTGAAATCGATTTGGCGATAAAATATATGCATGTGATATTGCAGCGCTTTTAATCGATCACTTCACTACAGTGATTTATCTCCAGCTTCTGCTCTCAAGCGCGCTTCACAGCGCCCATTACACAACGAAAATTGATCAGCATAAAACACGCCTTCCTTTTCCCATACCACGCTGCACCACCATGAATAAAACGACACTGCACTGGAGCTATCTTAACTTCAAAGATGTGCCCATGGACCTGTATCTATACGAAGATCTCGAAGAGGTAAACAGCACTTTCGAATAAGTGTATTTCAACATAGAAATGTTCATTTTAGAATTATTCAATCCTACCGTCAAAGGTGTACCTGAAGGAGAACTTTATCACCACCATTCCCAAATGGCTGTTGAATGTTACAACTTTAAAGTTCATACACTTGGCAGGCAATAATCTCAACGCGCTTCCCGAAGAAATGTACTTGTTGGAAAATCTGGAATTTCTTGATGTCTCGAATAATCAGATACGTGAGCTCCCAAAAACTATTGGGTTGATGGACCGGCTGCAGCGTTTTAATGTGAGTGGCAACGAACTGACGGAACTGCCCGCTGGTGAGTTCAGTTGCATGTATGTTTCATCTCTCACTTTTGTTTTACTTAGGCTATAAGTAGATATTAGTAGTTTACTTAGACCATCGATGCATTTAGTATTTAGGATCATATGCAATTCTGGCCGAGCTCTAGAAAGCACGTCAGTCGTGTTTCTTCTGTTCCAACTACCACCAATTGGAAATGCCAAGTGAAGCCAAGTCCTTCTTGCTAATAGCATCGTGACTCGTACCGTAGAATTTTAGATCTGGAGAATTTCTGTCCATTCATACGACATGGCCAAGCCAGCGGATCCACGAAGCTCATTTTGTCATCGTCTGCGGTACTCGCCATCGCCTACCCGCAAGGCCCGTAAATCTCCTGAGAACTCCAAGAGCCGCCTCATCAGATGTTTTTATTGTCCATGCTTCTACGCCATACACCAGCACGGGCATTGTGAGTGACTTTTAGAGTAGGAGTTTTGTAAGACGAGAGAGGACTTAACTTCTCAACTGCCTACACATTTAGAGTAACACTAGCTGGCAAGAGTGATTCTCCGTTGAATCTCAAGGCTGACATTATTATTCTCCTTTCTCCTCATTCGCCACCAGACCCATGCGCTTTGGTTTTCTATCTAATTCCGAGAAGGCAGACCAGACGTACCCTTGTTTTTGCCGATGATGTCGATGTCGTCGGGATACGCCAGCAATTGTACGCTCTTGTACAAAATTCAGTCTAATCCGTTCATTTCTGTGGCTCTTATTATCTTCTCCAACTTCAGATTAAACTAATCACAAGAAAGGATGTCACCCTGTCTGAAACCTCGTTTGGTGTCATTCGAACATGTCCTTCCGAATTCTGATGGAGCTGGTGGTATTGCTCAACGTTATTTTGCACAGCCGTGCCAGTTTCGCGGGGATACCAAATTCAGACATTGCCGCATCGCACAGTGTAACGTCCCCATATAAGCTGCGAACAAAATAGTAAACGTGGTCCAATTTCGATGAATTTTGCATATGGTCTAATTTCACTTAAAAAAGTTTTAAATGTGGTCAGGATTGGCCAACTACCACGCCTCCAAATCTCATGAGCGGAATTTTAAAAGTTATCCAATTTTGATCAAATTTGGTTTGCGTATGTGGTTTATCTAGAAAACAGAAACCTAAAATACAGTGAAGATTGGTCCACAGGCAAACCAAGCCACCAACTAAACAAAATGTGACTCCCAATGTTAAATATGGTCTGATTTTGATGAAATATTAATTGTGTATAACAACTTTTTCAGTAAAAAATTGCAGCGAATAGCAAAACGCAAAATAGAGCGTAAAACTAAGGAGAAGATTAAACAAGCAGAAAAAAATTATTGAACACAAAACTAGTAACAACTTGCAAGTGAACAGTTGTTGCACTATTTTGACATTCCTGCTGTATTCCTCGTCTGCTAGCTACTTTCTGGTAAAAAAAGTTTCACCAGCAAGAATTTACAGCTCTCCAATGTTGTAACACTCTCGATTCAGTGCTCTCTTCCAAATTTTTTGGGTTATTATCAGTGTTGCCAGAACTTTTTGGGCCGACCGGCTAGATTGGCAAAAAAAGCGGCTAAAAACGGCTAAAATGTTTTAGTGAAATTTCACATAGACTCTGGCAAAAAACGGCTAAAATGTTTTAGTGAAAATTCACATGCTTTATTTAAATAAATCGCAAGAAACGAAAGACTAGTTAACACCATTAATTTATATCGAGTGTATATTCCTCATCATCAAATGAATCACTATTGCATATATCACCTGAATTCATTGATTTTAAGAGATCGTCATCTACAGTAAAACTATGGCAGCATTTTTCTTCACGTTTTAAACCGTATCTTATATATAAAATAGCGTTTAACGTTTTAACGCACATTGGATTTCTTTGCTTGGTTTTTATTATATTCATTGAACTAAATATTCGCTCTACTTCTGCATTACTTATAGGCAAAACAAGAAAACTAAAAACTAGGTTGGAAAGGTCAGCAAAAGGGTTTTCTCCTAGGGCATTTCGAAATTGATAAACTTCGGCCCAAAATTTTACAGTTGAGTCTAAATTACTCCAGGTATGTAACGTTAACCGTTGCCATTACATCTCTATGGATGTTATTTCGTCGGCATTATATTTGTGTTTTTGTTGCTGTAGTTGAACAAATACTTTTGGTTTAATTACTCTTAATGCATTTCCAACCGAAAAAAGTCAATTTTTTTTAGTGTGGCAATATTTGTAGGGAGGCGTTGGCGTAATTCCTTTATTATTAAAGTAATATTATTAAAGTGATAATAAAATAGCGACGATTTTCTCGAATTATTTTCTCGGCTTCGTGGTCAAAAGCGTTTGTGCTTACTTTTGTTTTTAAATACTCTTCAAAACTGTGATAAAACTGAGGAAATGGAGCAAGGTATGGTTCCAACGGGGAGCATATAGGATCAAATGTGTCCGCGCAAATAACCACTAGGGAGCATAGATGCGAAAGTAAAACATTGAGTTCATTAAAAATCTTCATTGGGTCTGCATTATTGCTTTCGAACAACTTGTTTACTTTTTGCACCTGAAAATTAGGCAAATAGTAAAATCGGCTAAAAACGGCTAACTTTTTTTTACAAACCGGCTAACAAATCGGCTGCCGGCTAAATCGAATTTTCTCCGGCTAGTTGCTATCAAAACCGGCTAAATCTAGCCGGAAAACGGCTAAAATGGCAACCCTGGTTATTATATACCTTTCCAGTAAAAATTTGCACGTGTCAGTACAAATTAGTGCTGACTATTTGTTACTATACACACGTATTATGTTAACCTTCCAAATACGCAGAAATACATTGAAGTCAAGTCAGGGCACATTTTCGATCCCAGTGGGAAAATTAATAATGCATTCCATGCGTGATAAATAATCGAATGTATTTCTTATGAGTGTTACATCCAATTACTGTTTAATATGTAATCAGCATTCTAATGTTAACAAAAAGTCCCAAAAATTTCATATTAAATCACATTCATTTCTCGATACTAGGTAATGCAAAATTGAATGCCCCACTTTTCTTAGGGCATCGCCCTGGGGGAAAAAAAATGCATCTTCGAATGTGAAAAGGGTTGTTTACTGATTATTTTTTCGATTACTATACATTACATTTTCGCACTGGGTTGTTTAAAGAAGTTTCATATCGTCGGTGATACTGCAAAACGTTCTATGTCACTCATTAATTAGACTTGCGAGTTAGTTTTTTGAAACAAAATTAAGATTAGAAATTTTAGCTACGTTGGTATTACTTTTATCAGGTTTATACTCAAACTCGCGAACAAACGCCCCACTCGGCCAAAATCAATTATTTAGTAGTGAATCAAAATCTTCAGCAGATACATTAATTTTAAAAGATGAAATATCGCGATCGTATTCAAAATTAAATATGCGAATAAATACATCTTTAGTTTTAATTTTAGTCGATATGTAGGACTTTATATAATCCGAAGAAGTGTCTTTAGCAAATCTAGAGACAAAAATTGATCTTCTCGGAGGAATTACAACCAACTTTTTGGTACTGACTTCAGAAATTCAGGATTCCAAATTATTCGGAGGAACTATGTTTGGTAGTGAAGCTTTAGATGTCGATGGCGACACTGTTTTCAACAGTTTTATTGTCATTATTATTTTTAGACGTAGACCTAGTCGATATGGCTTTCGATAGTGGAGGTCCAATGCCTGAGGACATGGAGAAGAAAGATTGATTAGATCTAAGGGTTGAGATGGCGGATTTTTCTGAGAAGATTCAGTGGCAATCTTTTTAGGTGGACTACTAACACGCCTATTTTTATTTACTCGGCTATTCTCAGAGTGTGGAGGGTTGTCGAGACATGTGAAAGACTTAAACTTTTTTTCATAATGCTTAAATTTCTCAACAAGCACCGACAGATCCTTCCCGATCTCAGAAAAACCATTTCTAGACTGCCTAAAGGATTTAAACAAATCAACTTCGGTTGATCTACCTTTAACAAGACCAGCGAAAACCCTTTCCCTCATTAATAGCGTATACCACCCTACCGCTCAAACCAGCACATTTTATATGTACAATTCCATCGCAAAGCCAGCATGACACATAGGAGTCGCTTTTAACGTGGCAATTGGTGTAAATACACGACATGTTTAAAATGATATTTATTTATAGGTGTTAGCATGATACAAAAAAGAAGGTAGTTTCACTTAACGATTTTGGTCGCCATGTTAGCCATTTGCCTTTTGCTGGCATTATGACATTTTCATCGAAATCAAGCTACCAGCTACAATAAATAAATAATTTTTTTGACTGCCTTTTGAAAATTAAAAAAAAAGATATGCACGTGAACATATGTTTGTATACAAACAATGAAAAAAAAACAATCTTTTTCGAATGAGTTGCGCGTTTAAGGGCTGGAAAAACTCTGTACATTTGTTTGAAGTTGAAGTTTTTTAAATTCCACACGCTTTCTTTTGTTAGAAATATAAAAGTGGTTAGAAGCTGGTGATGTCAATGAAGAAACTCTTCCCAAACTATCATTTATTTATTCAGTGTGTTTTGCCCTAACGGATTTAGCTATTAACAAAAACAAAACCATTTTATTTAATAATAAAATGCAATATACTACATATTTTCGTAAGCGTCATTTGACGATTTTTAGTTACGTACTAATAAACCTAAATAAAGGAAATTTTTAAAATTAGGGGGGGGGGGCGGCTCGAGCACGCCCAAATTCATAAAAAATAAAGAAGACTTTAACTGCTTTATAAATCGAAAATTTGTATGAAAATGTCACTTTATAGAGCTCTATAAACCTATTTTATTTTTTATGAATAAGGCCATTAATGTTTATAATTGAAAACTTAAAAAAAAACTTTCTATAAGTTTATTTTCCTTGTTGGGTATCTTCGTCTTTTATCAGTATCCCTCATCCTCATCTTTTTCTTACTATATATTTATCTTTATTTTTCTTAATCTACATCAGTGCCAGTCAAAACATGTAGCCTT